AGGTCCTTAGGATGGGCAAAATGTAAACAAATATAAAGTTGTATTTTCAAGCTATTATTATGGGCAACAAAACCAAATGTTGTAAAGACTTTATAATTTTGCCATTGCACTCTTAGTATTCCCACTAAGCTCTTCTGTAGCACAAAGTACCTGTGGGAAACCTGCTACTATTTCTTCAGTCATATCTTCTTCCAGACTGGGTTCTTCATCTGCTTCTTTGCAGGTTATATGTGTTTTTCATTTGATTATCAGTTGTTGTTGTATTAGTGTTTCTGGTATGGTATGTTTCAGCAGTTCTCATGCCATTTTTCTTTTTTCTTTCTCAATATTAACCTGGCCATGTTTGTCCAGACCTTGTTTGTTTGAAATATTGAGTTCATTCTTTTTAATCCTTCTCAGCTTTTCTGTCTGAAGCCATTCCCACAGGAGTGACAAGAATTTCATGCCTAGTTCTGGATGGAAATATACTTATAATGAAGCACTAATCAGGCTGCACCTTGGCCCACTTCCTTGCTGCTAAAAGTCACATAACACTAGACAGTGACTATTTGCATCCCCATCATTCCTATAGGTATGATTTCTGACATAGGGTCATAAGACTGTTTAGGAACTAACAAGCATCCTCATTGTTCCTGTAGACAGGATCTCTGACATTAAAATCATAAGGCTTTTGTTTAAAGATCACTTAAGAAATTTTTTCAGGCTCCAAATTGAAGCAAAAAGTTTAAAGACCTCCCACAGAGGAATATAATCAGCACAAGAATACAGCTTCTTCATCTCCCTATCCAGTGACTTCACACCTGCACTCTTTAACCAATCAATGATCTCCACACTTTGACCCACTCCCAAACTCTTAAAAATCCTACATCTAATCTCCTTGGGGAGATGGATTTGAGGTTTTCTGCCATCTTCTCTCTCAGTGACCCTACCATTGAATCTCTTTCTGTGCTTCAACTCAGTGTCTTAGCATATTGGCTTGCTGTATGCACTGGGCAAGGAAACTATTACAGTTATAGGTCTTTCCTTAGAGCTGAATTTTGAGGGGAGAGTGCTGCTTATTCACTTGCTCCTTTGTGGCTCAATAATGCAGAAGTAAAGACAAAAGATTAATGGTAGCTGAGTACAGCTCTGACTAGATGGTCTAGGTTCTGCTTTCTTTTCTGAGATCTTTTTACACATCCTGTAACAGCAGCCATCCCGCTCAGCCAAAGGTGCATCCCATTCTGTGGGATTAGTTGGCCCTCTTTCCCCACCTGGCAGAGTGATCTGCATTATGGAAAGCTCTGGTGGCCTTCCCTGCCCTGGTCTGACCCTTCTCCCTCTGCTGAGACAATAGCAGCCCATCAAAGTCCCTACTCTCAATGACTCTTTCTTTACTTTCCTCAGAGCTGCTCCACTTGATTCTGGTTCTCTTCTTTTCAGATAGGAAAGCACTACTGAGATTTCTCATGACCTTTAAATTGCCTGCACTCTGTTTTGGGGCATACAGACAGGGTTAGAGGCCCTGATATGATGCTCAGTGTTTGTCATAGACAATCTTTGGCTTGCTGTAGCCACTACTTCCATCAGTTACAGTGTGAAGTGGCTCCCCTTTCACTGTTTGGTTGCTCTTGGTGAGCTAAAGTTGGAATTCCCAGTGCAAGTTGAATGTAAGATCCTAGTAGGAAGTTGAACACAGGAAATCTTCCCTGGAAACCAGAGAAAAGGTAAGCAGTGAATAATTATAATTAAAAATTTGGTGAGCATTCACCTTGAATTTAGGTGTTTGCATTTATTTAAAATCCTCTAAATTATTGTTTGTTATTTCTAGGTAGGCATTGTAGTTTAATTAAATTCATGCTTTTATCTTGATGAAGAAATATATTTTAATAGAAAGTACATGTCTGCATAATTTTTAATCTTGCTTTTTCTCAGTTGTCAGAAGCAAATCTAATTATTTGCTTATGAAACTAAAATCAACCACCACCTTGTGGAAGCTATCAGAATTGCAAGCATATTATAAAACCTTAAAGGATGGTTCTCAACCTTGGTGGCACAGGTGAATCACCTGGTGAGATTTTGAAAAGTACTGTGACCTGGGTCACACCTTAGATGGGTCTGAGATGGGACCTATGCATTAGTCTTTTTGGAAGTCCCTCAGGTGATTCTGAAGCAGTGGCCATCTGTCTCTTCTTGTTCTTCTCTCCTTGACTGCCATTCCTCCCTGGCACATCCTCTCGAACTAACCCTATCCCTAGGTTCTCCAGGCTCTCTACACAAGTCCCCCTAAATAGTCCAAATTCAGTATCCCTCCTTCCATCAAAATGCTCATTCTCTTCCAACTCATGAGTTAAAATCTAAGTTGAGTCTATCCAGGAATCTTGCACTGTAAATGATGCTTCATGCCATCTTCCAGTAACTAATCTATGTTGGCAATGTAGGCTGGTACAGAGGACACCATACCAGCTAGACAGGCATCCCTCCACCTACTGGGCCATCTGATCTTTTCCCAGTGTTCCATCATTTGTTCAATGTCTATTTATGTTTGACACAAGATTTTCCATCAGAGTCACAATGCAGTGAGCACATATGAGCAGTCCTACAATTAAAATAAAATTTTAAAAACCTTACTTGTTTCATTCAGCATTTTTCTGGATTGTCAGCAGAACCTCTCTTTTCCAGAATGCTTATTAGTACTGCGATGGAAAACTCTTTAATAGATAACATATGCTGCACTAGACCTTTCACTTATAAGGATCCACTTCTTGCTTCTATGTCAATGGCCCTGCCTTCATGCAGAAAGCAGCTTTCAGTGAAATCCTCAGGGATGCATTCTGCAGTCCTTTCTCTCACCTCCACAACAGCTCTGAACATTTATAAGCATTTCCATGTCAGATATTTAAAACCTTGATTAATATTTTTAGGCTGAGTTGAGAAGCCATAAAACATACCTAGGTTGGGAAAATCTTATAAAAGTTGCTTTACACCCAAGAAAGCGGAAACGCAGGCACTTCTATTTTGAGAAAAAGAGTGACTGCTCTAGTTGGTGTCATCACTGGTCACTGGTAGTTGGGATCTGAATGTTTTAACTTGCATGAGTCATCCCTGGCCATGCTGTACCTCTGCGTTTTCCCAGAGCTGCCGAAGGTTTGTGCATGAGGAGCAGTCAGAGATGAGAGTCTAAAAGTGCTTTTTTGTCCTTCCTCCGTTTTCTCGCTGTTCCCTGAGGAGCTCACACCTGTCTTTCTTCTTCCTTTTCATCTTTCTCTAGGCTGCTTTCTTAGGACTAAAAGGTGGAGGGCCTTGCACAACAGGCAACAATTCCTCTTCTTCTGAACCATCCTTCTCTTCTTCTTCTTCCTCACCCTCCTCTCTGCCTTAGCAGCAATGCCTATAGTGAATTCCCCAACAGACAACACAGCCCATTCTCAGAGATCAGCAAAGACAGTGTGCCAATGAAATGAAGAAAACACCATTAAAAGTAGAATTTGACGTTTTGAAAGTCTGTAAAGGAATTTGGGGAGAAATCTGAACTGTATTGGCTTTTCTTGCCTTTACTTTATGAGCTGATAGAGGTCTTTTTGGGAGTTGCTTATGTATGTACTGTAACCTTTTTCCATTTTGGTCACCCAGTGGTGCCATACTGCCAGTTCTGGTACTGGCACAAGTTGCTCAAAGAAAGGAAAGATAAAAAGAGACACTGTACCTGGGAAAGGCCACTGAAAGGACACTGGTTTGATCAGGGCCCTGAGGAATGCGCTGAGTTTAGCCGGAGAAAGAGAGATAAAAAAGTTAAGGCTATCTTCCAACCACTTTGGTTTCCTCAGCTCTAAACACAGCTGGAGCGAAATAGGAAAGGTCTCAACCCTCGGCCTTGACCTGTGGCAGACTGCTGTTCTACCCAGGCCCCAAAGTCCTTGACATCTCTCTGGAACATGGAGAAACACCTGGTCCCACTGAATCCACAGTGAAAATAATTCCCCAGCTTAATGACAAAGCCCTTGTGGCGTCAAAGCAGCAAAGTATCTGAGGCTAATGCATGGGCTGCTTTCAAATCATTAATAACAACGACAACGCTAATAATATTAGTGTGGAAAAAAGGGGAGAATAAGAACGGGTCTTCTAATCCGTCATTTGGAGCCTTCCTGTTTTATAGCCCATGGAAGATGGCGCTCCCTGCTCTGTTTCTTCATCTTTGGGTCCCAGATACAAATGTGAAGAGAATGGGCACATTTCCAGGTGGGTCCTGGAACCTGGGTCCTACATACCTTCAGGACATTGCCTGAGAGCCACATAAGCCCAAAGGGCAAAGGAGCATGGCTCGAAAAGGGAGAAATGGGCAGCATAAGCCCCAGAATCAAACTCACTGAAGCAGATGGAGCCCATAGGCTGAAGCTGACCCCGGTAAGCAGTCCATTAGCATGAATGTTTTGTGGAATGGCTAAATCAAGCTAACTACCACATGCATTACCTCACATATTTGTCTTTTGATTGTTTGTTTTTAGGGACAGAGTCTTGACCTGTCACCTAGGCTGTAGCGCAGCAGTACAGTCATGACTCACTGCAGCCTCAAATTCCTGGGCTCAAACAATCCTCCCATCTCAGCCTCCCTAAGTATTGGGATTACAGGTTTGAGCTCCTGTGCCCAACTGACTTTTGTATATGTTTAAAACACTTATAATCTATTCTGTTGGCAATTTTCAAGTTTACAATATATTGGTATTATCTGTAGTCACTATAATGTACAATAGATCTCTTGAACTTACTCTTCCTGTCTAATTAAAATTTTGTGTCCTCTGTCCAATACATCCCTAATCTCCCCACCGCAGCTCTGGTAACCACCACTCTATTCTGCTTCTGTGAACTCAACTTTTATACATACATCAAAATATCATGCTGTACGCCATAAATATACACACTTTTTATTTGCCAGTTAAAGAAAGAAAGAAGCATTCGCATTTAAAAAAAAATAATAATTGCTTTGGATCAAACCATCACTCCAGCCAGCCTAGCAGCCCTGGCAAAATTAAAAAGTAGAAGACAGGCTCTTCAGCACCCTTTCCCCAGGATAAGAAGAGCTTCACCCTTTGCATTCTTTACCTCCTCTGCCCTTGTGCCTTCCTCGTGATAGTCTAGATTCAAAGTTTGGGAGGGTCCTTGATGTCATTTAGTTGAAAGTTCTCATTCACAGTAGAGGCAGTACGAGCATCACTCCACTAACTAGGGGCAAATCAGGACTAAAACCGAGGACTTCTCACCCTGAAATCTTTCCACTATGTTGACTCACTTTTGTTCTTTTTCTCTTTCCTAATTTATCTTTAAGGAATGATTTTTAAGTCTTTTACTTTAAAGTGTAATTTGCCACTCTTAAAAATGCAGTCCGTCTAACAGCCTTATGTGAAAAGAATGGTGCTGCTACTATAAAATAACAGAAAATGTTTTAGAGAAGGTGGCTCTTGAGCAACATCTTACCGAGGGCAAGGCTTTGATAGTGAATATCAGGAAATGCATCCCTGACAAAGTGAGGGGATTTAGCAAAGGTGAAGGGGCAGTAAGGGGTCTGCCTTAGAGATGAGGAAAAGAATAAAGCCTGGTTTAATTAGAGTGTGTGTGGACAGGAGAGAAATAGATGAAACTGGAAAGTCTGAGAACAAATTCTTGCCCTATCAACCCAAGGACATTTACGCTTTTTAATTTATTTATTTATTTTGAGACAGAGTCTTGCTCTGTTGCCCAGGCTGAAGTGCAGTGGTGTGATCTTGGCTCACCGCAACCTCTGCCTCCCAGGTTCAGGTGATTTTCCTTCCTCAGCCTCCTGAGTAGCTGGGATTACAGGCACCCACCACCATGCTGAACTAATTTTTGTATTTTTAGTAGAACTGGGGTTTCACTGTGTTGGCCAGGCTGGTCTCAGACTCCTGACCTCAGGAGATCCATGCGTCGGCCTCCCAAAGTGCTAGGATTACAGGCCTGAGCCACCATGCTCGGCCAACATTTACACTTTAACAAGTCTTCTGAAGGTCAGTCAATCCAAGTAAGTCAAATCTCTAATGGTGGCAATCCCAACCCAGCGCCTGGCCAGTAAGGAATATGTTTCAGATAAATCCCTTCTAGCCTGTTATAAAGCTCCCTCCTAATGTCTCTTTGCTAATATGTTTTATCTGAGTCTAATGGGTACTGAGTCCTTTGGACCTCTTGGCAGATGGGGAGGAGATCTGAGAGGCTTCCCTATGCAGGCAAATTTTAGGAGACAGCTCAGGGTTGTGGTTAAAAGCACAGACCCTAAAGCCAAGTAACCTGGGCTCAAATCCAAGCTCTGCAGCTCTGGGAAAGTTGCTTAAGCCCTATGTGACTCAATTTCCACATTTGTAAAGCATCAATGCAAATAACAGTACTTAGCCCCTTGAATTGTTCAGAAGATTAAGGGTTAATACATGTATTGCTGAGCATGGCATATACCTAGTGCTAGGTATGAGCAACTATCGTGATGTTGCTGATGATGCTGTTCTCTTTCTTCTCAGCCCTTCTTTTCTTCTATGCAGAGTAAACAAATAATAGTCTTCCTATATGAACAACACTTTACAGTTTGTGACTACTTTCATATATATTTGGTCTTTAGCAGGGGTTGGTTGTTAAAGTAAATCAAAATGGGGAATCCCTGAGTGGACAAAACCAGTAAGGCCTCATAAGTAACCTAAGCCTTGCTTGATTTGCAGACATAAGGAAACTTAACCGGAGCTATTTCTTGTAAACTCTTGTATTAAAAAAAAAAAAGAGAGAGAGAGAGAGAATTTAAGTTCAACCAATCAGAAATAGCCAACAAACTTGTAACTACATAACTAGGGACTTTCCAGTTGGATAGGCCAGGTGCAGCAACGGTGTAACTGTAACCAATCAAATACGCTCTTTGCTTTACATCTGTGCCTGCTCTATAAAAGCTGCACTCCGCTCCACCTCCTTGTATTCCCTCAGTGGCGCACCTGAACTGCTTCTGGCTCACAGCTGCCCAATTCATGAATCATTGTTTTATCAAATAAACTCTTTAAAAAAAAAATTGTATTATGCCTCAGTTTACCTTTTTAACAGGGTGTTAACACTTTTGACATATGAAGGTGAGTAAAATAGCCCCAATAATAAATAGATTTTTCCTGGGTTACCATGGCACCAAATGGCAAATGAACCAGATCTGGCATTATCAACTCATTTTTCCATTCATTCATGTGTTGATATTCATCTGCCTCACCACCTGCTCTGTGTCAGGCATTGTGTAAATTACTGGTGATATGGGTATTAGACACTCAATCCCATTTCTCCAGGACTCACGGGCTAATGAGGAGATAATGTAGACAGTGTGGTGGTGTGAGCAGAGGAGAAGACAGGTTGCCCTAGAAGACTTAGAGGAGCTGGCAGGGAGGTCAGCAGAGATTTCAAGGAGAAGGAACCTAGAGGTAAGTCTGGAAAAAGAAAAGCAAATCATCAAGCATGGAAAGCAGGAAAGGAAGGCCACCTCTTCCTTCTCTAACCCCACCTCTGCCCCAGCACAGGTCCTCCCTGGGACTGGCAAAACTCTTGAGTTAAAAAACAAAGCAAAGCAGAACTCCCAGTACTTGCTGCATGCCTCATATGCTCAGAATGTTGGTTCAATCCACAGGTGCTCAGCCTCTAACTCAGGGATTGAGAACTCAGCAGGGCAAATGATGAGAACAAAGGCAGCAGGATGAGGGCAGGTACTGTGTGCACAGTGTGGCCTGGAAGTAGAATTGGCCCCAGGTGATATACACAGATGCCCAAAGGGTATCAGCCTGCTGAGTGTGTCTCTGTCTTGGTCACCCATAATATAACATCAGCTCCCTTTCACACACCACACGCTATGCAGAAGACTGTTTACATCTGGTAGCTTTTTAATTTCACCTGTCAACCTTCAAGAGCAGACTTTGTAGAGAATTAGAAAACTGAGGCAGAAAAGGCTAATTTGCCAAAGGTGGATGAATTAGTTATCTCTTGCTATTCACAGATAACCCCAAAACTTAATGCCTTAAAGCTACAATAATGACTTATTATCTCTTATAATATCTGTGAGCTGAGAATTCAGTCTGGACACAGCGGAAATGTCTAGTCTCTGTTCCCACGATACCTAGGGCCTCTGCTGGAACATGCAATGGCAGGGGACTGGAATCATCTGCAGGCTTACACGCTCACATGCCTGGAGGTTTGATGCTGGTGGCCTTCAAAGCCCAAAGCCCTTTGTTGTGGCTACTGGCTGGAATACCTATGAATGGCCTCTGCATGTGGTCTAGGCTTCCTCACAACATGGTGGTGATATTCCAAGAACAAGCATCTAGAAAGAAAAAGAGCCAGGCAAAATATATTGCCTTTCATGAGCTTACCTCAGTGGTCATGGCACGCCACATCCACCATATTCCTTTTTTTTTTTTTTTTTTTTTTTTTTTTTTTGAGCTGGGGGAGTCTTGCTCTGTCATCAGGCTGGAGTGCAATGGTGGGATCCCGGTTCACTGCAGCCTTTGCCTCCCAGGTTCAAGCAATTCTCCTGCCTCAGCCTGCCGAGTAGCTGGGGCTGGGACTACAGGGACACACCTCCAAGCCCAGCTAATTTTTGTATTTTTAGTAGAGACAGGGTTTCACCATATTGGCCAGGATGGTCTCAATCTTTTGACCTCACTATCCGCCTACCTCAGTCTCTCAAAGTGCTGGATTACAGTCTTGAGCCACCGCACCTAGCCCATTATATTAATTTCATTGAAACAATTATAGGCATCCATCCAGACCTGAGGGTAAAAATCCAAAAAACAAAAAAAAAGACCTCTCACTTTTCCAAGATCAGTGTCAATGTTGCATTAAAAAGAGTATGTGGAATGGAGTATATATTGGAAACCTTTGCAAAAACAATCTCCCGCAGTGACATGAACTGGGGTCCTATCTTTGCTGTGGCTGTACCGAAACACCTGCCTTCTCACAATACCAGCTCTGCTGCTGGGAGGGGGACACATTTGTCCACAGATGTCTGCGTACCCAGAGGCTCCCATGCTGGGTGACCTTCTGTTTATTTGGAGAAGGTGGCCATTCTCTGATCTTTGTCTTCTTTTGACTCCCTTGTCCTCTGAGCCCCAACCAGAGCTTTCAGGGAAATGCAGGTGACAGATCAAGCTGATCAAGCTCAGCAGAGTGGTACCAAGGTAAACAGCCAAACAAGTTTGCTTTCCAGCCTCTGTGTTTTTGGAGAGGACATCCTTAACCTTGTTTCCAGCTGTTTCTGTATTTCTATGCTGCCTATCACCTTTTAGACCCAGATGCGATATGAATTATTCATTTGATTTGGGGCAGGTGCACCCATTTCCTTCCAGGACCCTAGGGGCAGGCATAGGAAATTAATTCACAACGTCTGTAGCTGAAGTCACTTGCAATTTCCACACCAAGGAAAAAATAAAGTTATGGGACTTGAGAAAGCTCCAAGGTGTTGAGAATACTCATCAGCAGTTCTTCACTGCCTCTGTAGAGACAAAAAATGGGTACTGATTCCTGTATGAAAGGTTTATGTTTGTTATCAAAAAAGAGTTTCTCAGTCTTGGAGGTTACAAGGCCCCGTAATAGTGACTAGGGCGTGTCCCAGTAGCTCTTACCTGGAAATCTTAAAACAACAGTGGCCAGCCACATAATCCCTATAATCCCAGCAATTTGAGAGGCCATGATGGGAAGATCCCTTGAGCTCAGGGGTTTGAGACCAGCCTGGGAAACATAGACCTCATCTTTACTAAAAATAAATAAATAAATAGCCAGGCTTGGTGGCACGTGCCTGTGGTCCCTGCTGCTCAGGAGGCTGAGGCAGAAGGATTGCTTGATTCCAAGAGACAGAGGCTACAGTGAGCTGTGATCACTCCACTGCACTCTAGCCTGGGCAATAGAGCAAGATCGTGTCTCAAAAGAAAAAAAAAAATGGCACAAAACCGCTTAGACACAGAGGATGTGCCCTCTGACTACTCAAGTTTCCCCTCAACTTGACTCTTCTGTTATTGAC